GATGTTCGGTCATTTGAGTAATGTACTTATTATCTCACTTTTCTGTCGCATGTGGTTATGAATCTGAGCTTCCCAGATCTGTCATTAACTCGCTGTTTGTTCACACCGTCCTTCTTGTCACTGGAGCGAGCGGCTTCATGCGACACTTTCTGAAGCAGAACTTTGGATTGGGTTCGTTCTTAATCTTGAGTACTACATCCAGATTATCATGCATTAGATATGTTACTACCTTAGTCACATGAAGTGTGGCCAAGTGTTGCATCGGGCGATCCCGATAAGTCGGGACTTCCGCTGGCATCTCCGGACCTCCCCCACATTCCCGCCGGCTGCCCGCCCTTCTATTCTCTCAAGCTCTACGGAGTACCCACGTCATGAGATACCGCATATCAACGCGACATCAATTCGTACGAATACTGTGATATTTGGTTAATTACGTATAGCATGAGCCAACTCACTATACACTTGATATCTACTTCCAAGCTCTCGCTGCGCCGTGCTGCTGCATCGACTAGCCACTACAAATACCCAGCTGTAGGGCCGCTCCTCGGCGACATCCGACTGCTTCATAGCCATAATCCGACCATGTCTTTGAAGCTTCCTATCGGAATATTGAGCGAGAGAGATAGGCTCGCGTGCTCTCTTGCCCTGAAAGGGTAGCTCATCCCCGAGGAAGAAGCAGCCACAATATCGAAGGCCTTCTTATCGCTGGGAATCTTGGCTCTCTTCTGCGATTCCGAGTTCAGCAACCAACAACCCACAGTGTTGCGCAAGCTCGGAGCAGCAGCTGGCCCAGCCTCGTCCGCCGGGATCGCAGCTGAACACACGCACGCGAGTTCTCGACAGGAGGAGCGGAGGTCAGCGCAACAACATTGACCTTCCGTCTTCGGCCTAGGTGTCCCCCCAACGTTATCAGAGAAAGTTCCTAAGCGCGGCGTAGGATTGGACAGCGACTGGATTAACGTTATTTGTTGCTCCTCCGAACCCCACAGCCCAGCCCAGAAGACCTTGTCAATCCCAAGCCGGCGGGGGTGAAGCGATGGTGGGAGGATTTTGGGAATCGTCAAGTTTCTTTTCCAGGTGGTCATTCCACGCGACGAGACGCACACTGCTTGAAGCTTGGATGGAAGCAGAAGGACGGACGAACTGTCAGACAGTCAGAGTCAAGGGAGACGGGGGCCAAGCCGGCCTGGCACAACATGATGGTGAGTTTGCCACGGGTACAATTGCCACCCTAGACCTGGATCAAGGTCACGTCGTGTTACCGAGGGAGTGTCTCGCTCTGCAGGCACTCTGGAGTGCATCAATTGATTTCCATGACGAGCGTCTAGTTGCTCCGCAGATGTTCATCAAGATGTTCCTTTCACACCGAACCAGTTGAGGCTCCTCGCCATGCGGTACCCATGCAAGCAAGTGATGACACGGGACCGGATGGAGAAGCAAAGCTCGATGAACTCTGCCCGGCACACCATTTGCCAACACAGGTTCGGCTGCATCCGTCACAGGTCAGACAAGCCCTTTCTTGGTCACCCTTTGTGGGAAGCCCAACGAGCTGAAGAGAGACCGTGATACGTAACTGACCGCACATTGGCCGCGAGTCGCATGGCATCGTCTGGAGGAACACTACACGACCTACCAATTCATGAACCCCGGTTCAGGCCCCCCAGACCCGTCCGTCCCTCCATGACAGAAGTCAAAGGGCCTCCGCCGGGCCAACGCGTGCTCCAGAAAAGGCAAAGGGACCGCTGATAAGCCAATCATCCAAACCACCACCACAACGTGTATCTCACCCCTCATCTGTCCGCGTCTCTTGGCAAATGCTACTTCATCACCGAAGAAGCTGTCTTTCCCGGCATCAACCACTTTGCCAATGTCTTGGCATGCGGCCAGAAGAACCTCCAACGGGGGTTCTTTGGTGTATTGTCGTGTCTATCCAGCCACTCAGCATTCAGAGAGAGATGCTTTCCGAGATGCAGGCCCCCCGTTCGAAGCTGTCGCGCTGCGTTGCCCGTGCCACCGCCGTCACAATTGATCGCATGTGGTTCTTGTTTGTTCCACTCTCCAATTGCTGCCCGCAAGCTCTGGGCAGAAGCAAAATTTGTATATATTCGCGCGGGTAGCTTCAGGAACCCGGAAAGAGAAGAATTGCGATCGTCAGTAGAAGAAAGTTTTCCTCCTCTTCCCCTCCAAGAACTCTGCGTGGCGCATACTCAACCGTGGCATCGTGAAGGCTTAATTGACTTCCCGCGCAACCTTGACATCAGACCGAGCTTGTTTGCGGCCTCTTGAGCTTCCTCTTTTGCCTCCCACCTTCCGGACTTCGCAATTCCCCTCACTCACGATGCGCCAGTCTCTCCCGACGCTGGCTCTGGCCATGGCCGGTGCCGCTTTTGCGGTTCCTGAGAAGGAAGACGGTGACCACCTTTACTCGTCTCGCCTCTCCAAGCGTGGCATCGACGCCGAGGGCAACTACAACATCTCCTTCTTCCACGTCAACGATGTGCACGCCCATCTCGACGAGTTCTCCTCCTCGGGCACCGACTGCACCCGTCCCGAGCGCGGCTGCTACGGAGGCTACGCGCGCATCAAGCATACCGTCGACGAGCTGCGCCCGCAGTACAACGACTCCCTCTGGCTCAACGTTGGCGATGAGTTCCAGGGCACTCTCTTCTACTCCTTCTACAAGGGCGAGAAGATTGCCGAGACCATCAATCAGCTCGGCTTCGATGCCATGACCCTTGGCAACCACGAGTTCGACGGCGGCGACGACCAGCTCGGTGACTTCTTGCTGAACCTCACGTTCCCCATTATCTCGGCCAACATTGTCTCCGACAACGAGAAGCTCAACAAGACTATCAAGCCCTACCATATCTTCGAGGATCAGGGCCTCGCCGTCATCGGTGTCACCACCACCACTACTCCGGGCATCTCCTCCCCCGGCGAGGGCACAAAATTCCTCGATGTCGTGAGCACTGTGCAGTCTACTATTGACCACATCAAGTCCACCACCAACATCACCCGCATTGCAGCCATCACCCACATTGGCTACGAGGAGGACCAGAAGCTCGCTGAGCAGACCACCGGTCTCTATCTCATCATGGGCGGCCACTCCCACACCCTCCTCGGCTCGATGGAAGACGCTGAGGGCCCCTACCCGACCGTGAAGCAGAACAAGGACGGCGACGACGTCTTCATAGTCACCGCCTACCGCTGGGGCGAGTATGTCGGCTACATCGACGTCACTTACGATGCCGAGGGCAAGATCCTCGCCTACCACGGCGGCCCCATCCACCTCACCAACACTACCGAGCAGGACGCCGCCCTCCAGGCCCAGATCGAGTCGTGGCGCGGACCCTTTGAGGCCTTTGCCGCCGAAGTCGTCGGCGTCTCCAACGTCGAGCTCGACCAGTCCCTCTGCCAGAAGCAGGAGTGCATCCTCGGCAACGTCATGACCGACGCCATGTACGAGTACCGCCTCAACTCCTCCGCCGACAGCCCGCCCGACTTTGCGCTTATCAACGCCGGCGGTATCCGCGCCACCATTGACGAGGGCAACATTACCCGCGGCGAGGTGCTCACCTCCTTCCCCTTTGGCAACTCCATTGTCGAGATCACCTACAAGGGCTCCGACCTGCGCAAGATCCTCGAGGGTGCAGTGACAAAGGTCAACCAGTTCAACCAGGAGGCCATCACCTCCTTCTTCCAGGTCTCTAAGAACATCATCATCGAATACAACCCGGCCGGCAACAACGGCTCCAAGCTCGTCTCTGTCGAGGTCGGCGGCGAGGCCCTTGATGACGCCAAGGACTACAAGGTCGTCACGCTCGACTTCTTGGCCGGTGGCGGTGACAATATCTTTGTCGCTACGACTGACTTCGTGACCCTTGATACCCAGGACGAGGTCCTCGTTCAGTATGTTGAGGCCAAGAGCCCCGTCGAGGCCAAGATCGAGGGCCGTATTGTCGCAACCAACGGCACCGCGTCCACTCCTTCCGGCACTGCCACCGGTACCGGTGCCACCCCGACTTCTACCTCTGGCTCTAGCGGCGCTAGCCTGGTTTCCGTCAGCATTGGCGCCGTGGGTCTTTCCCTGTTGGCCCTGCTGGCGATGTAAAGCTGGGATTCGACAAATGCGTAATGTTGTAATGATGCGGATGATGTAGATGTATGAGTAAAAATAATCAAAAGTTCTCCGCCTATTAATCTTTGCCATGCATTCATGATTGTGGGAATCTTGCTACACTGTTGCCAAGGGCAAGCTCCTCCAATCATAAGACTGGGTTCTTTTGTCTAATCTCTTATGAGGTACTATGAGGGATGAGATGTCTTCCAGACCATGTGTCCTCGACACGTACATGCATTGATGTATCTTGAGTTACAGTCATAATCTCCATTGTCTTATCAAGTTGTCACAGTGGCAGGTAGGTATTACGGAGTGACAGTCGGGCTCGTAGGTAGGCAAGGCTACTTGGGTCCAAAGTTCAGTCCAGCCTGGCTGTTAGATCCCGACTCTTGGTACGTCACTTTCTACCTCATCAAGGGCCGATGGGCCGGTAGACGACGAAACGATTTCTCAGCTCCAAATGTCATTTCAAACTGTCGTCCAGTTTGGTGGATCTTGATGCTAACGACACACATCAGTAGCCTGGAGTAATATTACAAAATTGACATCTCAAAACAGTGGTCCCGTCTCATGGTCGCAAGTGACTCGACTCCACAGATGCCACAGCTAGTCCTCTTCCATGATATAGTCCTGTCTATGATGGTGTACCTGTCGAATGATGACCGCATCCTTTGAATGAGCCTTTTTCCCTGCTTGCCTAAAAAAGTCGAGCAATTCTTCATTCGGCTGCCACTGATCCATATTCAAAGGCCATCTTGGGCTGTCCGGACAGGAGTCCTTTGTCCCTTCAGGCTTCTGATTCTCATTTTTGATTCTAAGTAGCAAACGAGCCTTCTCTAAGTCGCCGGCCTGGCGTGCCCTAAACTCCGGTATCCAGTCCTTAGAATAGCATTTGCACCGCGGGAACCTTTCGTCGTCCACGTCTGGCATCACCCCAGGTGTCAGGTCTCGCCGGTCAGGCCTCGCCGGTTAAGGGATAGCTTAAGGGGCATGAGGAGGGGGACCAAGCAACAAAGGAGCAGCTCAGGCATATATAGAGCGCTAGTAGTACACCTCGAGGGAAGGGCAGATTTCAGTAATTCATCTTTTAGACCCTAACAGCAGTTGGCCTCTGTGAGCTTCTTCCCTGTGTCACACACCTATTGACACCAGGAGCGAGATAATCAACGTGGAAGCGATGGAACCATTCGGAGCCCTGGTATCTATCGTACTTAGCCAAGATGACTTTGAACCAGAGTTCCTTGAGGGAGATCATCTGGCCCGCTGCCTTGGCAATGGATGTGAGCATTGGCACCATGACCTTCTCGTTGACGGTCCAGGCGGCTACGTTGTCGTCGCCGCTGACGCTATACTGCCTGTCTGGGGGGTTATCCTCTAAGTAGGAACGTTCGATGCTTCTGCGTTTGACGAGTTCCGAAACATCAGCTTTCCACGCCGGCTCCTCAGCATCTCCTTCTCGGATTGCGCCTGGCACTATTCTGCCGGTGCTGCTCAGAAACTCGACAATGCGCGTGTTATAGTGCTTCAGGTACCACTCTCCGCTGGGCGAAACCATGTTGCAATCAACCTTGAGCTTGGTCATGTTCTGCCAATACGGGGCTGCATCGCCCAGACTAGGGGGTGGCGACCAGAAGAAAGAAGAGCTGAGATGGCCCCCGTACTCAAATTCTGAAAAGCCGTCAATTGCTCGGCGCAGACCTACGAAGAGAGGATCGCTCTCCCCGTCTCTGGTCAGCTGCGGTAGCTGGTAGAAGGGACCGTATTCATTGGGTAGGATGATAAGCTTTCCGTGCCTCGCCGATGTCGGGAACTGATATGATGGCAGGGTGTTGATCAAAGACTTTCGCATTTCTCGTCGAGGTTCCATAAAGAAGGGGAACTCCGAAGCATCGAGGTCGAAAGACTCTAAGTTGGGAAACTTCTGCAGAAGGAGGAAGTCGCCCTCGACATTCCGTCTCAGAGACGAGAGTTGGTAGAAGAACGAGAACTTCAAGCTACGGACGCATGGCACGATCGGAAGGCGTTGAGGATTCACAGCATTGAAATGGTGAAGCTTGGTGTTTTTCGATTTTCTGTAGTGTTTATCATTGAGACCGATGGACAATGATACTCGCGTGTCGTCTGGCCATTCGGACAGCATTAGCATCAACTCTCTCAGGATCTCCGTGTGGGCAATGTCGCAGTGTGCCATGTTCTCGACGATATCCGAGGGCCCTGAGCTGTGCCGGTATTCGGGTGTCACAATGTTCACATGCAGCTCGCGTAGTGAAGTCTGGCGGTTGCAGCACCGTTTGAAGGCATCTCAGACGAATTTGAAGTCGTCACTTGTGATTACGAGTGAGCGAAAAATTGCCCGTTCGATGCCCAGGTAAAATTTGCGGCAGACGGCCGCAAGATCAAGTCGAAGACGCGGTGTCTCAGGGTCGAATGCTTCCGAGTCAACATCCATCCAGTTTTCGAGCTCCAGGAGTTCTTCATTATAGTTGTCGCTCTCTCGCGCAGGTATGCGACCGAGGGTGTGATCCAATATTTCTTGGGGCAGAGAGTCCATTTCGTGGGCGCCCTTGCTATCCGGTTGGATCTGGGCTCAACTGTTGCCTTCAACGTTGTGAGGTAGCGTAGTGGTGTTGGTATCCGTACCCACAGGCTGACCGGTTCGATTTGTGGATTCGAAGGGTGACGGAAGATCAACTGAACAGATATCGAGATTTCTGCGGGATTGAAAAAGGGGTAATTTATTGGTACGCAGTTGGAGATTGATAAAGTGATCGTCCCTGGCCCCTACAGCTACCCTGACTCGAGGTCGACTCGACAAGTTGATAAACAGGCTTTAATGATCCAACACGTCTACAGACTTGGTGATCAATACCTATAAATGCCCACTGTCTGGCATGCTCTGGTGTCTTTCGGAACGAGCAGTGTCATGCTAGTCAAGCCTCCAATCTCTCGGTTTGCTCGAACGTGAAAATCTTGAGATGCAACGGATAGTCACGCAAACTCTTGGCGGGAGGCAGTGCAGCCGGAGCGGAAACACGAGCTCCTAGAGGATTACCAGCCATATCCTAGATCATTCGAAATAGAATCTCGGGACCTAGATTTCCAGGATCCGAACACTACCATTCCGTTGTTGTTCAATTCCTCATAACAGAAATTGCCTCAACCCAAAGAGCCAAATGCGCCGATGTGTCTACATCATCTTGGAGTTGGGCTTCTTGGCCGACCCGCTCGCCAAAGTTCTTGAGTTAGGTGTTGCAACGCTGTGGGCGGATGGTCAGCGCACTGTGGCGTGGTCTGAACTCTTTACCAAGTTGCTCATTCTGTGCTTCAAGATTTCTTCGGCTGGTAGATGGCGTCAGTGATAGACTTACTCAAACTAACCAATGACTAGTGCGTGTTATTTTGCCGAAAATCCTCCCATATCCACCCTTCGTCAATGTCAAATAAGACAGAGTTAAAGATAGGCATAAAACGCACGTAGTGGTGTAGTAGTGCATGGAACTTGGTTACGATCGTATTCTTCTCCAAATCTATGAGCAGTTTGAGCAATTACCATGCGGAATCCAGGTTGGATCAAATAAGTCATTGAATCCTTTCCGTAAGGAAACGCCGCGTATGTTTGAAAGCCGAGAGAATAAAACAACCCGAACGGTTAAACACTTTGGCGAAAGCGTCTGAACTGCACTGCAGATGAACCTTGCCAGATGCAACCAATCAGTTGCCGCGTCGATAGCTGGGAAGCGATTTCATTGATTCGGAAGACCGAAATCAGCCGCTGACGCTGGCGGCTGTCAAAGGATCAACGCCAAGCCGGTTGGCTTGCTGCTGGGCAGCGGCGATAGACGACGCCCTCGGAGCTCGCTGCCGAGAGCGAGGGATACCCGTGTCGTTTTTGCAGCCGCACACGTACCGAGGGACCACGACCACGGCCGCGGCACCCAGCTATCAAAGTGTCAAAAGAGTGACGGGGCCATGGACGGCGTGCAAGATTACCGACTGTCCGGCTCACCGAGCGGCTGGCTTGATCACGGTTATAATTTGATCGTGGTTCGAAACCTAGCGGTTGAGACTTTGCTGTTGCGGGGTATGGGGCCGTGGTTGAGGTTGTGGGGAGAGAGTTGCGAATAACATCAACGGGCCAACGGCGACTACGTCTGATTCGCACGCATAGGGTTAGGCACACCGTTTTCTGGAGGCTCCCAGAGATTGTGAGTAGCGGTGGGCCGGCTAGTAAAAGTTCGGCTAAAGATTTAAATCACCAAGTCACATGCTATGAGGTGAGTCGAAAGTTCTCTGGGATGAATGGTGGGTATGGGCTACCCTCGTGATACTGATGCCATTCAAAGAATCAAGGTTTGACTCCCCGCGGCACCCGTGGGGAATTGATAGTCGTCATTTCTTCCATTTGGCCATCATATTCTGGAGTCTGGAGTTCAGCGGGCCTCTCTGGGGAGAAGAGCGAACCCAAGCTTAAAGCGGTCTACTCGTCCGGTCTCCAGTGTTCTCAACTTGACATGCCAATCGACATGGCATGTCCAGGAGGGGGCGATTAGTTTTCGTCTGATTCCTCGAGAACATCACTGGCTGAACCCTGGCCAAAAGCAATTCTTTGTCTCCACACTGCCCCTTGAATACGGGCCGACCAGAACGAACTTTTTCTAAGCCCAGGTTAGGAAAGACGTCCAACCACGTCGACAAACGTCATAGGCTAAGTTGAGTGGGAATCAAACGGGGTCGAGCGGGTGAGTACGGAGTACGAATATTCGTACCGGCGTCAAAGTTTCCTGGGGAAATCGGGGCCGCTTTCTGCAACGACCTTTGGCTATAGTAAAATGCTACTCTCTCTACACGACCGGATACCGGATGGAAGGATGAAATGTCATTATCAGGCCACGCGAATCTACCGGTAGAGATATGCAAACGCTGGCTGCTGAAGCGAGCGCATCGGCGCATGAAACGGCATCGGGCCTTTGACTAGTGCCCGAAGCCATCCGAAGCCCGTCTGAAATGCAACCAGTTGCAATTTGCACAATGCGGCTTCAAGTTGCCTCAAGCAAGGGTGTGAGCCAGGATAACACAGCTAGGCAAGGTTTGGTTTAGTCTTGGATCAGGACACAACTGGGTCTCTCCAACTTTTCTCCAAACTTCTCCTCTCCATCCATTCTCCTCCTCCTCTTCATCCACATCATCTTGCTCATCCACTTCACCCACCTCCTAGGCTCTTCCAGTCCAACACCATGCCCATACTGTCCAACAACTCCGTCACCTCGGCTGGCCTTTGGAGAACTGGACCTCGAGACTCCCCGCTCCCCGCACGATCCCCCCGCACGAAGAGTCACTAGAGTTCTCCCACCTATCACCAGTCTTCTTGTCCCCCAGACACCCCAGACGCCCTCAGGGACATGGCCAGGACACGATGCTTACTCCAAAGCTCCGCAGAGCCCCGTCCTACCCGTATTCTTACGCGCACCAATGACAGCATGAGATTTCGCATTTTCTAGTCTCTCGTCAAGCCCATCTCGTCAGGAGCAGGAAGCCTTTGAAGGCCGCTCCCGTCCCCGGCGTTGGGGGCAGGTGGATGGTATAAGACCGGATGCTCCCGAGTCCCCCTTTCCTAGAAAGAAATCTTGGCCACCAGGGCGACTCCAAATTTCTCTTGGCTTTTTTGCTTGTTGTCTCTTGGCCGTTGCTTGTTCTCTCTTGGCTTTTGCTAGTTGCAATTTGCTGTTGGCCAAAAATCCTCCGATTTTGCAGCCACCACCGACCACGACCACCCTCGGAACTCTCACACAAATTCAGCCCAAGATGTCGACAGGCCTCGCCCAGGACGGGCACGACGCCTCCAGCAGGGATGACAACGTTTTTGTCGACGAAAAGGTCGGCGATGCCCACCACATTGACGCGGCAGGCAACAAGACGCTGGCCGACGCGGACCTCATGAACGATGCCTTTGACGGCGAGAACGAAGAGCACAACCAGGGCCTGTGGCAGGCCGTCAAGACGCACCCCAAGGCTTGTTTCTGGGCCTTTATCATGTGCTTCACTATTGTAAGTTTCTCTCCATTGTTCGTGTTTGGGTATCGACCCCTGCGTATGTTGGCGGCTTTTCGGGCCGCCATTCCGTCTTCAAGCTCGCGAGTCAGTTACTAATTGGGGTACTTGTCCAATAGGTCATGGAATCTTTCGACATGTTCTTGAACGGCAACTTCGTTGCCCAGAAGGCCTTCCAGGATAGATACGGTGTTGAAGTTGCTGGCGGGGGCAAGGCCATCGAGACAAAGTGGCAGTCCGCCCTCTTCCAGGCCGGCCAGTGCGGTGCCTTTGTCGGTGTCTTCCTCGCCGGCCCCGTTGTCAACAAGCTCGGGTATCGCCTGGCCACCATGGTTGCCTTGATCATGATGAACGCCACCATTTTCATCTCCTTCTTTGTAGGCAATCCCGATCGCAGTGTTGCGCATCAGAATATGTACTGACCCTAATTTAGGCCAACTCGCTTGAAGTCCTCACCATCGGACAGGCATTCGAGGGTATTCCCTGGGGTTTCTTCATCGCCATCGGCCCCGCTTACGCCTCTGAGATTGTCCCCCTCGCCCTGCGTGGTGCCTGCACGGCCACTCTGCAGATGTCTTGGTCCATCGGTTCCATCATCGTCGCCGGCGCAACTCTTGGCTTCAACAGCCGTACCGACGAGTGGGCGTGGCGCGCGCCCCTTGCTCTCCAGTGGATCTTCCCCGTGAGTTTACTCATCACCCGCGTACTTCGCATGACCATAGACTGACCCGATCTCCAGCTTCCCCTCATGGTAATCCTCTGGTTTGCTCCTGAGTCCCCTTGGTGGCTCATCCGCCGCGGCCGCAAGGAGGAAGCCCTCCGCTCTGTCCAGCGTCTCGGCCCCACCCACGGCACCGCCGGCCAAGCTCAGCGCAAGCTCGCCATGATCGAGCGTACCGTCCAGATCGAGGCCAACATCGGTGGAACCCCGACTCTCCTCGACCTCTTCAAGGGCGTCGATCTCCGCCGTACAACAATTACCTGCCTGATGTACGCCTCGCAGAACTTCGCCGGTAACCTCATCGCCAACCAGGCTACCTTCTTCTTCGAGCAAGCCGGCATGGCCCACGACATGGCCTTCAACCTCAATCTCATCAACTCTTGCCTCCAGTTCGTCGCAAACGCTCTGTCCTGGCCCTTGACCGCCTGGTTCGGCCGCCGCACAATCTACCTTTGGGGTACGGCCGTGAACATCACCTTCCTCATGCTCCTGGGCGTCTGCGCCTCGATCCCCCAGAACAGCGCCACCAACTATGCCCAAGCCGTCCTGGGAATATTGATCTCCTTCGTCTTCGCTGGTACTCTCGGCCCCATCTCCTATACCATCATCGCCGAGACCTCTGCCGTCCGTCTTCGTGCCCTCAGCACCGCCGTCGGTCGCGCCGCGTACTACGTCGCCGAGATCCCCATGATCTACCTCGCCTCACAGCTCCTCAACCCCACGGGATGGAACGTTGCTGGAAAGTGCGGTTTCGTTTGGGGCGGTACCGCTTGTGTGTGCTG